CCTTCTTGGATATCGAGGGGGCTTTCAACAATACTGTCTATGGATCTATCTCAAGGGCATTGGCCCACAGAGGCTTAGACCTACTGCTGGTTGGATCGACGCTTTATGAGCGTACAATTACATCGTCCTTCTTCTCCGTCGCTTTGGTCACTTGTGGTGAAGGACCTCAAAATCAGACTATATGAGTGTGGTTACAGTATTGTGGGGTACGCAGATGACCAAGCAATTATAGTTACGGGAAAATTCGGCAGTACGGTCTCGGACGTTACAAATTCAGCTCTTTGCGTGGTGTCAAACTGGTGTACCAATGAGGGCCTCAGCATACATCCTCGGAACGCTGTGCTTTTACCGTTTACAATACGTCATAAACCAAACCTTGGACGGGCAGTGCTCGAATACTGGGCTGGGGACGAGAACTACCATTTGTCTTCCCTGCCGGCTTTTATACATCGACCCTACTCTTTATGCTTTAACATGCTTTCACTGATAAATACGTTTTTATAGTTCAACCAAATAAAATCTTTATCATCTTCCAAAAAATGACAAAATTCAAGTTTAAACTTACAAAAAAATTTGAGTTCCATTTAATAGCCAATACTACCCGCATTTACTTACCATTTATCGCACATTGCACCCATAAAAATTATAAAGCAACAGCAGTTAGACGACCAACAAAAATAAAAGTAAACGNCAAATTTGAGTTCCATTTAATAGCCAATACTACCCGCATTTACTTACCATTTATCGCACATTGCACCCATACAAATTATAAAGCAACAGCAGTTAGACGACCAACAAAAATAAAAGTAAACGAAATAAACACAAAACAAAATTCTAAGAATTATTGCAAACAAACAGCCACATGGCCACTCGATGCCATCAGATAACCGTCAATCGGTCAACTATTATCGATGTAAGTAGCCATGTTATGAATAATTTAGGACATTGATGCCTCGATAACTGTTAAGCGGCTATCATAGGCCGACCACACAACAACAACCATTGATAGTCCTTCCATTTCGACATGACTAAGCACCATCCACTCGGCTCCCACTAATCCGGTCGATATTGCAACAAAATGACAAGTGCTGATGTTGTCATTTCATTCAATCATAAATATTAAATAAAATGCTTACATACATATTATATGTATCGATTATCCAGCTAACCCAGCGCAATCGAGGAGGAGTGTGGCAAACAAGCTACATTCATAAGTAAATGTTCTTGGCTGTGGATGAGTTGAAGTGGCTGGGTGAAAACGGAATTTATGTTGGTCAAATGTTGGGTGGTTGGGTTGTGGTGTGAGCGTGGCTCACTGACACGCTTATGCTCCATTAATATTTTTTTNCTATATGTATCGATTATCCAGCTAACTTGGCGCAATCGAGGAGGAGTGTGGCAAACAAGCTATGTACATTCATAAGTAAATGTTCTTGGCTGTGGATGAGTTGAAGTGGCTGGGTGAAAAACGGAATTTATGTTGGTCAAATGTTGGGTGGTTGGGTTTTGGTGTGAGCGTGGCTCACTGACACGCTTATGCTCCATTAATATTTTTTTATTTATTTATGCTATTGTTTGTACATAGTTATTGCCTTCTCCGTTGTTTTGCTTTGCTTTGTTTATTGTTGTATTTGTGCCGTTTCGTCGGTCCGGGGCAATCGTAATCGCGCAATCCGATACGGCAATAATTGATGACAACGCAGAAATTACGAAAGCGAACGGTGACTATTGTTTTATGGATGGGTAAGCTTGCTGGGGTGGGTTGCAAAAATGTTCTGCGAGCATTTTTATTTTTATTTATTTAGTTTAAATTTGTTAAAGGTACTAAAAGAAATTTTGCAATTTGGCTTCTTGGTAGGCTTCTCGAGATCGGCGGGGAAAATAAGTAACTCCGTGCCTTATGGAGAGCTGTTAGCGTCTAGTAACTAGGTACATACTTACTATTTCGCTGTCTTTAGCCATTCTAATCACCCAGGAACAGCTGAGTAGAAGATGCTTGAATTGTTCCATCTCCGCGAAGTAGAGACTTGGAATTTTCCGTCGACTTTTTTGGTATTTAAAGCCCCCCCCTCGAGAACCTCGGATCCATCGTTGTCCAGATTGAGATTGCAGTTTTGCATGACGTAGTAGCCATCGAACACTCTCTCAGCTAACTAGTTAGTCATTAGTCTGGGACCAGAACGGAAGTAGTTTACAGAGTTACAACCGATCTTTTTTGGATGCCATAAACCACTTGGATTTCTGCAAAGCATATTTTTGATTTGGATGAATTTTGGTCAGAACTTTTCTTCTATCATATATCTACCAAAGAAAAATCAATTTCGAAAGTTAAAAATTTCACAGTTTCCCGGATTTTTTACTTTTTTAATATTTCAACACCTGTTATACATAGTTACAAAAATTGTTCTCATCTCGTTTTAAAAGTTATATTTAGGGCTATATAAAAAATCTTGAGACTAAAACAAATAATAAAATTACAATATCTCAAAAGAAAAAGCTTAAATAAATTTTTGGATGTTTTTTTATAGTCTCTAAAGGTACAGAAATGTTTAAGAAAACATTTTTTAAGATATGAGTTTTTGAGCTTGAAAATAGGCTTTTTTGTAAAAATTAATTGAAAATAATTAGAAATTAAATTCAAATTGTTTAAAATAATTTTTTTTTCGAGTTTATATTTTTGTAATTCCTTTCTAAAAAAACCTTGAAAATTTCATCATATTTTTAGATCTTTTCGAGGTGTTATATAAAAAAAAATGTAGCAAAATTTTAATAAGTTTTTGTTTTTACGATGTCTTTAGTTTCAAAATGCTAGAATTTTTTTCGATTTTTTATATAGTTTTTCTTCGCAGCCCTAAATATCACCTTTGAAACGAGAGCTAACCATTTTTTAGCTAAATAGTTTGAGATATTAAAAAAAAATTTCCAAAATCCCTGAAATCGTGAAAAATTACAATTTTGCTTGACTTCCTTTTTTTTATTAATACTTTTGGCAGAACTTTGTTGAATAACAAAAGTAAAGTTCAGACCAAAACTCATCCAAATCAAAAAATGGTCAATGATCTCGATGGCACTGTGTTTAAAAGCGCCTGAAAGCGCGTCCAGGCACTGACAAAGAGAGATGAGAATATGAGTTCAAAAGCTTAAAATATCGAAGGCGAAAAAAGACCAGTTTTTACAGCGCCAATATCTGCCTAGCGAAATAAATTTCAAAGTATTTCAAAGCTTTTGAGGTGGGAAAAATTTAGGGGTTTTCTTTTTTTGTAAAAAAATTTGTAAAAAAATTTAAATGTGTTTTTCGGTTCTTCTGACCAAGGAAATGGATTCGTTGACGCAAGAACAGAAAAATGTATTTTTACAACTTTTTAAAAATTTCATTGCATACTCTTTTCAGATCAAAACAAGGAAAACAACTTAAAACTCTTTTTTTTTTTAAATAATTTTTAAGGTCAAGGTATTTTTTTTAAACAAAGAGACTATTTTTTCCTGAACTCTCCATCTCAAAAGCTTTAAAATACCGTTTAATTGTTTTGCTAGTTTTTTTCATTATCGATATATTCGATTTGGTCAAGTTAATTTTCCATACTGTGCGCCGGGTTAACCCACTGATAAAACTGAGGAGTACACTTTGTACCAGTGCCAGCCACACTACCAACTGCATAAACTGTGTGTGCCAAGTGTGGGATAAGTGAAAGCATAACATCGAGTTCCACATCGTTAGCGTTCGCGTGAAAGCACGGAGGCAAAATTCCACAATGTGCGCGCCTTAGTCATCACTGCTTGACAATTTGCGGTCGGTTAAACAAGTCTTCTTTTCCGCTAGCCAAGAGCTCCACATACGAGTAACATAACTAAGTAGTTAATTCGTTATTCGATATCGTCGTTTTAAGTATTGCAATAATTTAGTACTTTTTCCAACAGCTGCAGTAAAATCGTTGCCGTTCTATAAACATCTCTAAATGTACTACTTCTGAACTAACTAGTCAGAATTGCTGCGGGGTAGTTTTAATATTGCAACATGAGCGAATGCGGTAACAAAAGTTATTGGGACGTAGTAACACTGCCACTTTCACCACCAACAAATTGACCACCTGCCTCACTGACTTGGCGTTATGAAAAATACCGAATGGAAAAAACGGAAAAATCCAATTCATGAAACCTTTGCTGAATTTTACCCTTTATCATTTATGCCGTGTAACTACTCTGAAATTTTTTGCCAATAAGCAATACCAAAGGCATTTATACTCGCTCCCCCTTCAACGGCAGAAAATATTTGATTTTTTGCGATGCCACAAAATGCCACGCGCGGTCATTTGTGTTTCCTCTATCTATTTTTTTCTATTCCTTTGTTGGATTAGGGCAAAATGAATGGAGGCAACCCNTACTACTCTGAAATTTGTTTCCAATAAGCAATACCAAAGGCATTTATACTCTCTCCCCTTCAACGGCAGAAAATATTTGATTTTTTGCGATGCCACAAAATGCCACGCGCGGTCATTTGTGTTTCCTCTATCTTTTTTTTCTATTCCTTTGTTGGATTAGGGCAAAATGAATGGAGGCAACCCCATAACCTCAGCCAATTTAGTATCAATAAAAGCGCTGATATGAAAGTTGATGTTGGTGCCACAAATTCTGCCGAATGTTGATTTGTTTGTTTGCTCAAAAATTTTCTAGATTTGAGCTTTATTCGCCTATTGCATATATATACATACATGTGTCTTTAATATGTTATTGTAGTTGTTGTACGATTAAGCCAAACATGTTGGCGACGTTTGCGGCATAAATAACCAACATTAAGCATACTCGTATCCCTGAGCAAGCGAATACAAAGCGAATGAGTGTAGCGTTTGAGGAAGTGGTTCGTTAATTTTTATATGTACGTCAGCTATGGTGGCTATTAGCTGAAGGAAAACAACATAAAATGGTTCATTTGAAAGATAGATATTTATTTACTCATGTACATTTATGTATGTATGCATGTTTGTGTGCATAGGATTTTTCTGATATTTATTCATTGTGATTTTAAAACAACTCGTGCGTATGTATGTAGATATATTTGTATTGTGCATAAACAATTACTCTGAATTGTTCTGCGGTCAGCCATGAGGGCGCCAAGTGTTTGTGTTGTTGTGTATCATTGTTTATAAATATGTATGTATGTATATGTATTTCCTTTAATCAATTTTTGTCAGCAGTTTTTTGTGCGGTTTTTTTCTTGTTTAATTCCATAACATTCTCTTAACCAGACGTGCGGTGAAATAATAAATGACCTCTGTGAAGCTCAAAGCGCTGCAGCCCAGGAAGAATCCAATGAGTCCGCCAATATAAACTGCAAAGAGATGAAAATTATGTCGATGTTAAAAAACTATTTAAAATGAACTGATAAAGAACTCGCACGCACAGTGGTTCAAAACTGAAATTTACTGTTCATAATTTACTTTATACGGTGTTTACAGCAGGGAGGCGATTTTACAGGCAACTTCAAGTTAAAAGCAACATTGGCCGGGAGTGAACGACCTTTCAACTAATCGCTTACAATGAAGTTGGGGTGCAGCCAACTTTTTAACCGACTTCACAAAAAGGAGGAAGGTTCGTCGGAATATTTTTTTTATTTATTATTTTTTGGTTTAAATCCTATCATTAGATCATGGAGAGATTAACGTTAATCATAATTTTTTATTAAGGTCGATTTCGCTTTTTGTTTAAAAATTACTTGTTATTCAACTATTCGCCTCTAAAATTGCCTGGAAAATCGCCTAATGTGAACACCGTTTTAGCCTCTACTTTTCAACCTATTTGATTAACGCAAATTCTTAGCCACTTGTAACTTGCACTTTATTATACCAAAATTCAATAATCTATTAACTAAAAAAATTTGAATTTTGGTGAATATTTTTTATAACATTTAAATTTTTTTTTTAATTTTTTGGTTTTTATTTTGGAAAACTCCTACAACAANAATACCAAAATTCAATAATCTATTAACTAAAAAAATTTGAATTTTGGTGAATATTTTTTATAACATTTCAATTTTTTTTTTAATTTTTTGGTTTTTATTTTGGAAAACTCCTACAACAACTGGAACAGGAGAAACGACTTTCTGCAAAATGTTTACTTTGCTCTAAAAAATTTGATATGAATTATCAAATAAAAATTAAAAAAATCGGGCTCAACTCACCACTTGCTAATTTCATAGGCTTTCATTAAAAAAAGTAATCAAACTGAGTGAAAAATGAAGGCTCCAGAGAATTCTGAACAGTAAACGCCAGTTTTGAACTACTGTGCCACGCCGCCTAAGGTGCTTTTCGATAGATCTGCTGGCCGTAGAACTATGTGATTGACCAGCGTGTCGGTTTTAGGTAAAACTGCAGCTAATCCCTTTAGCTTATATTCAAAGTCTCTTTGGAAAAATTTTAGAGGTAATATTTTGCCACTGCTGCAGAGTTTTGGTTGAAGGCTTTTAGATACAAAGAATTTTCGGTTGGAACAGGCTTGTATCATCATTCATCCGTAAGAATGTAATGATACCGATTCCCTCGTAGTAGACATCTATGGTAAGATCGTAGTCCATGTTGGAAGCTTTAGTATAGAAAGGGATAGCCTGCCTCCTGAATACTAGTCCGTTCTCTTCTAGATGAAAACCGCGCCTGCAAGACACTGCTGAATATCAGCCACCATACACATGTTCATTGTCCTTTCCAATCACAGCTTATTAGTGCTTAAACTATGCCCCATTAAACTCGTCTTATAGCCCTGGAACTTTAGGTGCGACTGCAAAGCATATACGAAACCATTTTACATGTAGTTTAATGGATATTATATAGATGATAGAAAACTTCTAAGCAACGTCGTGCATTTTTTTTGAAGTTTGCTACTCTTTGTTTGCCTTTGTCTGCGCTAGTGTGGAAGTCTTCATTCATAGGTTTGCTGTATTTGATAGATATCAAAATAATTAATTTCTACTTACCCAAAACATCAGCAAATGAAAAGAGCACATCGCGTCTCAACTGCATTTTTGGATAGTCTATTATGCCCCACTGAAGATTTGCGCCTAAAAACCAAAGTCTCGAGCGCTGAAAAGTGAAAAGTTCATGCAAGGTTTTCCATTTGTGAAATTTTAAATAAAAAACATGGTCGAAGTTTGCAACCTACATAGTCTTGTTTAGAGTGACATTTTCGAATTATAGTAAATTCTGCATTATAGAGCTTCAAGTATCTTACTTATATACGATGTTAGAGAACCGCAATTGTGGCATGGGATCTGGTGTTTACGAAGGGAAATAGGTGACAAATCCCCACTAAATATTTCGGAACACTTTGTACAATAGCCAAAATTATGACTGCAAACGTGTTCGGGTTGGTGTCCTACCTTCATACACCGACGGATCTGCCGAAAACGGATGCATCACCGAAAACGGCATAGAACTAAGGAAGCAATGCTATACAACAATTCGAGGTTAAATCCTCTCTAGTCTTGGAGTGCGTAGAAAAGCTGGCTCCTTTGCTAAGCACAGCTTCCAATGAGGCACGGAATAAGCAGATTGCTTAGCCAAAGTGATAGAAGGTCAAGCTCCATGCTCTGGTAGAAATATCTGATGTCGTTGAATTGTTTCTTACACCATTTGAGAAGTGCATGCTTGTGCTAAGTAAGAAAATGAAAAGAGTATGAAGTCTCAATTAATGGTTAAGCAAATAGTGTTGCATGCTTATAGGCATATTTTACGCTAATAATCCATTTTCATAAACTTCGGACAGTGGGTGAATTAACTCGCATTTATTAAGTCAGACAGATCTGATTTATAAGGAACGTCGGCAGTAAACTAAAGAAACCATGAAATGCTAAGCTAGTTTTATGAAAACTTAAACGACGACTTAAACGAAAAATTGAATTGCTTGCAAATATTTGTGGTTGGTAGTAATTCAGCTTCCTGCCAATTGCATATAAAATTATTCAACAAATATGCATTGTAGTGCAATCAAAAATTACATATCTTCGACTACGACTATCAGTTTGGAAGAAAAATATTTTCCTTTTATTGCGCTTTATAAGCTCATTTCACTCCATGCACATGGCACCTCATGTTCCCTGCCGAAAAAAAAACAACGAAATCACTTAACAATAATACTGACAAAATTTTCAATATTGTCGCATTGCAAATACGCAGAGCATTACTAGCAAGAATCCGTTACAACACATTGTCACTTTGTGCAAGAATATGCAAAAAGAAAAATCTCCAACAACAAGTGACGAAAATTCAGCAAAAACCCATATAAAAGCAAAANTACATTGTCACTTTGTGCAAGAATATGCAAAAAAAAACTCCAACAACAAGTGACGAAAATTCAGCAAAAACCCATATAAAAGCAAAAATATTTTTATCGCCAATAATTCGGCATACAAATTGTGGCAGTAACAGCAGGATATGCTCGTAGCAGAACTACTACGCCATACGAGACCAACAACACTGGGAAATCTGTGGCACGGCACCACTGCGCTCTCGCGAGGGCGACGGATATGCTTTTGCGGAAGTCAGCACTGGCTATGGCAACAAAAGTCGCAGTCAGTTGCAAGGCAGCGCGCGCATTGATTTTTGGCATTAAGATTGCAGTTTAACGGTACTTGCGACTAACAATATGTACATAAGCGTGTGTTGCATGTAGCACAGCTACGTATGTATCTACATATTGGCAGTTTTGTGAATCGCTTCATAACTAAGAAATTGTTGCTGCGCTGAAAAATGATACATTGCGCACTGATAGTAGGATAGGGCAACTTCTGTGCTGCTACGCTATGCCTGCAGCAGGATATGATGCCGTGACAAGCTGCCGTTTATCCAAATGTAGTTGATACTTACCTAAATGTTGCACATGTGGATGTAAGTGTATGTTTGTATGAGTGGTAAATGACAATTTCGTGTGCATCTAACACAAAAAAAAAGACACATTTGTGAATTCATTTTTACGCCACTTACATAGGATTGCACAAAGAAATTGGAGTCATCGCAATTTGACAGGCAATGGCAATCGATTTTATACCGGCTGGACTTGAGCGAGATGAGTTCTCCTGAAAGGCAAGAAGAATGGTGTGATTGCTAAATAAAATCTGCTCAGTATTAGGTAGATAAAATGTAATATAACATGATAAAGTAATAAAATTTATTTTTATCCTTTTTAAGTAGTGTCAAGAGCAACATTTACTGCGAAGGTTCTGAAGAAAATTATCGCTTGCTGAAGGTGTAAATTTTTTTCGATTGTGGCCATAAACAACCTGCCTGAGGAGCTGGTGATTACCTACGATGATGACGTTGATCTTTTAGGTAGGTGTAAGTTTTCGGGATACCCTTTGGGACTCGGTCCAAGGTTACTTTGATAGATAGATAATAAAATGAGGTGTGCACTGCGACCTGGCGATCTATTGTGCCCCTTCTTTTCACAACACTTCTACTAAGCCCAGATTTGCTTAAGTTGTGGCCACATTGAGCCCCTATTCCTATATGGTCTAGTACACGCTAACTTCATGTTATTGTGTCTGCGAAGGGAGTAGTTTCTCAATGCACTTAAATACTAACGTTAATTTGACTTCATTGGACAGAAGAGCCCTGAGTGCCGCCTGACTGTCGTTTAGCATTATGATTCTCTCATTTCTGTACCCGCTAGTCATGATTGTCCCCGCAAATAGATAGATTGCATAGATTTCCGCTTGGAAGATGCTCGGGTGTTTCACCATAGGAACAGAGAGTAAGGTTCGGTGCCCGAGCACTCCAGCTCCTCCTCCTTCTGGGGTTTTCGATCCATATGTGGACCAGTGCAGTGTGCAACCCTAAAGTAATTCCTCGAAGGCGGGGACACTCCAGGTTGCTTTGCTGCATAGCTCTATTTTATATCTCTTCTCAACTACCATGGTTTTGCCTATGTCATCTCTCGGAAATGGAGCTAGCGGGAGCGAGGACCATAGCTTCTCTATATTAATAGAGGATATGACCTTATATTTATCTCAGCGCGACCAGAGAAACCCAAGCCATCACCCCATTAGGTAGTCATGATTAAAAGCCATCTTAGGAACTTGGGTGCTACATTCCCAGAATTTTCCCGCCAGACGCTTGCATAGCACGAAAGCTTTCGTGGATTTGGAGGTTATTGCGTTCACATGTTTCTTCCATAGAAGTTTGGTGTCTAGAATTAATATCAGATACTTCACTTCGCTGGCTACGTTGACTACGAACCCCTCCAGGGTTATGTCCCTCATGCCCGGCAGGGCTCTTTTCCTAGTAAATGGAATGATGGCGGTTTTGGGTAGATTATTACTAAGGCCTACCTTGGCACACCATGCTTTTGTTAATATTACACCTCGATCTAAGACCTCTTTGAATAATGTAGCAGAGGATGCTCTCAAACTTTTCCCTGGAAATGATCACTATGTCGTCCGCATAGCCTTGGCAGCGGATGCCATTATTGGAGATAAGCTGAAGGAGTTCATCCACTACCCAGCTCCACAGAAGAGGGGATAAAACTGCTCCTTCAGGGCAGCTCTTTGTTGTTAGTAGTTGTACTATCCTGTATCCTACCTCGGTTTCAGCAATTCTAGTACGCAATAGCGTATCCACCCAGTTACAGATCACTGGTGCACGGTTCTCTTCTCTAGTGCTCTGCGCACCTTCGATATCAAGGATAGCTAAGAGCACTGTTTCTCCACATTTAAAAGCCCCCTGAGTTTCGGTTGTCAGTTTGTACAAGGTTGGTAGCTGTAGCTAGTACTGTTCACCAGGAAGTACCCTGGCCTCGACTGGAAGCATTCTTATTTGCGCTTGACTGTAGTTGGTAAGCTGTCGTGGAAACTGAATACTAGGGATGGAGCGAGAAAGGCGTTCGGAGAAACATTGTAAGCCTGACAGAGGGGTTAAAGGAGGGATCTGGAAATAGCTCTCCAAAATATTTAAAGTTATGGCTTATAGATCAATGTAGTGTTTTCCAGGATCTCAATTGCAGGACATCGGAAATGGAGTTAAACATCGGAAAGCAGCGCTTTAAGCGCGATCACAGGGGTCTCTAAGCTGGTAGAAGAATGTCTGACCTATACTTCGGCTGCACGTGATGATTTCCAAGTCAGGGCTGGGTTTGTACCTAACGAGTTGGCCAGGAAAAGCAAACTCGAGTCAGTCGATCTCACCAATTAAAGAGAGAGTGGCGGTAACTTTGGCTAATTGCAGACTGCTCTGGGACAGATGGGTGCTTGTCATCAAAACCAATGACATATCCAACTGCGCAGTTTTTCTGACCGAAGGTGAATAGTAGTCGGTCTAGCGATCACCTAGTGCTTACAATGCCTTAACTCCCATTTCTTGGATAAATTGACGGCATACTGTCCGATGGGAATTCATGCGGCGCGACTAAATATCACAGCGTTTTTCGCTTTGGCTATGCAGTTAATGTTCGTAGTGGTATGTATCAGAAAGTACGGATGACGGTGGTCCAAGTGTGCCTTTGCTTGAGACAACTAACTTAATTTGACTTAACCTAAGCTTACACAGCTCTTTAATGATATATGACGAACATATGTGTGAATGACCCCAGTAAATACACAGCGTCTTTTTACTCCATCCAATAGTTACGTAAAACTCTTTAATCTTCTAACTGAAAATCAAAAAAGCGCTAAATTAAGATTAAATATTTTCCGCCCAGAAATTTAAAAATTCCATTAAAAATTTGCTAATCCAAGTCAACCGAAGAGACAAAGAATTTACGCTTTTTATTTTTGTTGACCGACAACCGACGGCAGTAGCAAATTTACTAATCTTTGTGCATAATTTGCAAAGTCGAAGCACTCTCGTCCAAGTACTAAGTAATAAATACATACACACAAAAACTGCCACACAACTATTCTACACTGCTAGGAATGTAGATTAGTGGCAGTGCTCCAACTGGTGAAAGTGAAACTAAAACTATTTTAGTTTTTAGTCTTTGCTAAAATTTCGTTTATGGTTTTATCAGTATGTACTTTCCACTTTGCCGTGCGGGAATGCAGTCGATGTGTCATATTACCTTGCCATGTGTTCGACCAGTGGGTATACAAATGCACATATATACATATATGTATCTACTCTGAAATGCAGCAATGAATGCCAAAATTTAGCCACGTCTCTTGCGTGTGAGCAAATAGTTCTAGATATTTCTCGTTATTTTTTTTTGAGAGGAAAGTGAGGTACACGGAGGTCACGTGTCGGTGCAGCAGGTGTTCATAACAAAAATATCATTTTCAGTTCAGTCATAATGCTAGACGCTTGTTTCATAGCCGCCATACAAAAAACTGTATATGCCAGCATGTTGGTTGGTTGGTCTGTCTGTCTGGACACACCCATTCTTGCTGCTGCAAGTGTAATAATTTCGTTTACGGTTTTTATTCCCTTTTTTATATCTCAGTTTTTGTTGTTTTGCTTTGCTTTGCGAATTATTTCATTTCTTTCACCAGTGTGTGCCATACTCGTATTTGTCCATTTCTCCAACTACTGCTCGGTTGTCCCCTCCCTTGACACTTTCACGGCTCTGTACGGCTTGCTAGTGTTTCTTTGTTTTGGTTGCAAAGTTTTTGTTGCTCTGTTTTGTCGAGTAGTCGAGGTGCTGGAGTGTGTTTTCCTGTTTTCCTGTCTCCGGTTGCTGCCCTCGCCCCTCTAAACGTGTTTCATATGGTAGATATGTGTTCCATGGCGTTTATTTCAGGTTTGTGTAGCAAATCAAATGATGTATACTTTTGTGTTTTGGAACGAATGAAGAGCAAAAAGTGGAAGGAGGGAAGTGTTGGACTTAGCTGCAAAATTGTGGAATCGGGTTAGTGAAATGTGTATGCTCGTTGTGAATAATAAGTACTCATGCAAGCTTGAGCATTTCTGACAAATTTAGTAAATTGCATAATTTGAACATGAATTTTAATTTCCTTTAACACTGCGGTATACATTTCGAAAATGTGGAATGGACTTCATATTTATGATTATGCTGTTGGTGAAGCTAATGTTTAGACTATTTTTAAATGGGAGTGCTACCAGATATTTGAAAAAGGATTTGTTGTATGTGACCAAAGCTGTCTTGATTGCTCTTTTTTAAAATCACTCCCTTATTTTTGTTGGTAGGAATTTATTAGATAACAGTCAAGACATCGTCTGACATAATGCTATCAAATTCTTATGACCAAATATTAAGACCGTTTCTCCCGATTAAAAAAAATATACATACATATGTATATTAGACTGCATCACCAAAAAAAGTTGCGGTTTTTCCGCCGGGATTACTAAATTTATTATATTTTAAGACGTCCACCAAAATATTTCGTAAAAATATTAAGATCTAAGTGAGCTGGACCGATTTGAAAATACATCCAAAAATGAAGTTTTTTATGAATAAAAATAGTTTCTTAAAGAACATTTTTTAAAAAGTCCCCTCAGAAGACAAATTGGAATAAGCTTAAAAAATCTGCATAAAAATATTTAAAAATCTTTTCAATGGAATCGTAAGAATGAGATTTTTGATGCTGTTTTTTTACTTTTTTCAAAGATTGATTTACGAAAACCTTGAATACCTGGACCAAAAATGTTCTGATTTAGACTTATGGGATCTCAGTAGAAAGGTATTTTCACACCGTTTTTATTTCTGGCCAAAAAAAGCGCCATTCGTTAAGTCTAAATCGGAAGAGTTTAGGTTCAGTTATTCAAGTTTTTCTTATACCAATCTTTGAAAAATGCTAAAAACAGCATCATCATTACGATTCCGTTAAAATTTTTTTAAATTTTTTTTTTTAATATTTTTATGCAAATATTTTAAGCTTAAGCCGTTTTGTCATTTGAGGGGATTTTTTCAAAAGTAATCTTAAAGAAACTATCTTTATTCATAAAAAAAAACATTTTTGGAGGTATTTTCAAATCGGTCCAGCTCACTTAAGTCTTAATATTTTTCCGAAATATTTTGGTGGACGTCTTAAAATATAGTAGATTTTATAATTCCAATGGAAAAATAGTACCGATTTTTTTTTGTATGGGTAGTGATGCAGTCTAATGTATATGATTCCTGCTAGCTGAGTTAAAATTAAAAAATGGGAACCTACACTGAACTAAAAATCCATCTATGGATCAAAGAAAACTTTCCATATTTTAAGGTCGAAAATTCTTCCGAATGAGTAAAAAATTCTATCCGTCACTGGTTCAATAAGAACGTGCTCAATTGCGCGCTAAAGTCGTTTCTAGGATGGACTCCTCTCCATAATTTTATCCACGAAACAGCAGCCACGAGGGAGCAGCAACTTTGACTATATAACGGCGACTTCTTCACACATAAGCTTTATGCAGGTATTCTTGGTAAGATAGCAGGGTTTGAAATATGCGGAATCTCGGGTTCCATGAATAAGGAGATCTGATTTGGCAGAAAGTTCCAAGTGATAATCCCCGATCGCGAAGATTGGACAAATGGGCTCCCTGCACTTGATCCCAGATAAGTAAACTGGTACACAGACGGTTCAAGGATGGAGGACAGAGCCGGTGCAGGTATTTTTGGACCTTCCAGCACACTTGCATTTCCACGAGTTGGCACGAGAAGGATCGCCAACTTCCTTTTCGGGAGCTGAACCATTCTGTGGTCTCAGTTGGTCCTGGGGAGGGGTAAGGAGAAAATATATTATTTTAGAAAATTGAAATTACATCGGGCAAATTTTTGAGTACCTAGCAGGTCACAACAGATTGCGATTCTACTTGCACATAATAGGTGTGATCACAGAGTCGGAATGCCCACCCTGCCTTGAAGATGATGAAACTTCACAATATATTCTCCGTAACTTTTCGGCTTAAGCCAGACAAAGATTGATCAATTTTAAAGCTTCAATAGTCAAATCCTTTCTTACGAAGAATTCGCCTACCAAGCCCTTTTAGGAATCATTAGGGAAGCCGAAGGTATGTTGACCACACTGGGTTAGTGATTCTCTTCTTAAACAAAAAATACAAAAGATCTTTCAGGTCGGTTCAGGTTGATCTGTTACATCCAAGAACTAACTAACTGACTAACTAATGCCTTGCCTGTCTATTCTAGCCCCCGAATCTTTCTGAAAGCACAAATTCTTCCTAGGTAAGTTTATTATTTAGACTTATTTAAGTAGAAGTTTTGAAAAGATACCTTATGTTTCCGTTGTTGGAGCGGCCATTTAGACCTGCGTAGATCGGCTAGTATTTCAATCGCTGTCGTCAAGCTCAACCAATGATTTTGATGAGGTGGGATCAAAGCGAAAGCGGTATTAGTTGAGTGGGCTCTGAGAGTTGTTAATGCCATGCGGAAAACCCTTATGTTTTAAAGCGTTTTTGATTTAGGAATCAATTGCAGCAGAGATTGTTGGGTGTCAAAGAGCTCAGTTGTTCGTCGTCCAACACATCGCGGCTAAATGCCTCAAAAGGGGCTTCGCCGCGTTATCCCTTTTCAGGTCGGAAGGGCAAATGGGTTCTCTTATATGCCGATCACAGTCAGATGTTTGGGTCACGTAAAGTGCCCAGTAAAAAGTCTCATAAGTTGTCTGCAGTCCAAATATCTAGTATGAGCCTCTGAGATTGAGAGCAACATGAACTTTGACCACCTTCAACCCCTAAAACTGTGCAAAATATTCGTGCAATTTCTGCCTGTGGCTTCGATAGCCGAAAATGGGAACGCTATAACTGGTTGCTGGTCGATGAAGGCCTGGTCTGAGCCCTTGGTGGCCAAATGGTCACATCCCTCATTACCAGGTATTTGCGAGGGACCTGGCACTCAAAGTAAGACAAGCTCGTTATGTTTTCCATAACACTTAATTTAGTCGACACTTTCACTGCCGAACCAATCTGGAAGTAGTTAGAGAGCTGGCCGATAGCTTGAGTGCAGCTTGGCTGTCACTACAGACATATAAAATCCTGCATATCCACCTTTTTTCCACCACGTATTCCAATGCCTTGATGAATGCAAATACCTCGGCTTGGAATATCGAGGCATATTTGTCAAGAGAAAAGTGCAGCTCATCTCTATTATCCACGATCCTAACCCAGTTAAAGTTTTGCAGCCATCAGTGAATATTCGACAGTATGTGAGCCTGGGCTCAGTATTGAAATTAGGCCAAAATTCAGCTTCAGGGAACGAAATCTTTTGGAATATCACTTGTGTTTAGATCTCCGCCACCAGAAATTTCCATCGCGCCCCACTCAGTATTATACCAACATCTATTCTTTAATGCCTCCCCACAAAAGTGCAAAGTTATGGTAAGTGTAGCAGAGCATCAAGCGCAGCGCCAGGTGTTGTACAGGACGCGGTGACTGTCCTTTGAAATTTGGCAAGCAGATTTCCCAAGCTGACTCTAAGCATCACCAAGCATAACTGATAATGGATCTGTCTATTGAGGTGTAGATTCAGAGAATACCTTTTGGTAATGGATCCCAAATTTTTCCCAAAGACCTGTTAATATTGAAAAAGTGCTTTGCAGGTCTTATGCTCAGTCTTAGGCGTCCAGAATTAAATACTACTAGATACTTAATTTCGGATGAGATCTGAATTGCCACTCCTTTAAATGTAATTGGGATTAAACCATCCAACCTTCTCCTTCTAATGAAAAACACAACACTAATATTGTTTGGGTCAACGGGCAGCCGAAGCTCATTACACAAAGTGTTAATCATATTCTTGTTCTTTGGGGTTTCCCGCAAAAACTGGCAGAAAATGGTCCTAAAATGCGTGACATACTCTGGATACAATAGGCTCGAGTCTTGCTGGAGTTTAGACCGTCACAGTAACCAGACTGTAATTGTGCTAGGGAAACGCGGGTCTGCCGAGGCAGCTGAAGCTCTTGCTCTTAAATCAGTGATGACTGTACTCTGATGACGGTATTCACGGGGCGAAAATTAGTGTAGGTTGTTTGCCTGTCTATACTGCGACTGGTATAGTTATTGTTTTACATAGTCCTGAATCTAGAACTGTCTATTCTGAGAAAAGCAGCGAAAATCGGAGCGACGTCGATGAGAAGTTCTCTGCCAGATTACTTTCGTTCTCTGAATTTGCTTAAAACTCAATTAATTCTGAATTACGTTAAAGAAAAGAAAAAAATTAAACCACCAACCAATTTAGTTTCGCAAATATTGAAAATATTGCTAATGTATTAAATAATATCATGGAAATGCTTGAATTTAGTTTTTGTGTGAAAATTTCTATGAAATACAATATATTTCACAAAATTAATTAAGTTAACTAATTTTTAAAGCTTTTTTTTTGACCTACTAAATTCTTTCTAGCGTTCTCTATCATGTTATGCAAAGTATTTATTACTCACTTTTTATATCCACCAAACAAGCCAATCCATCGAAATCACAAATTTGCAAAATTCGTCCATTTTTCACTTTGATTATCCAATATAACGGCCGGTTTTTATTAACATTTTTTTTCGAGTAGTTTTTCGCATATCATAAGCATCCATCAAATTAAAACGAGAAAGCAGTGGCGAAAGCGTTAATTGTGACAATCCGATTTATAATCCAAACTATCTGTAGCTTTAGCACTCAGCATACATATAGAAAACGAATTTTAACGGCGCACCGAATGTGTGCACGTTTGTGTGTGAGTATGTGTGAAAAATACCAATTAAAAAAGCTTTAATTTTCTGGTTAAAATTTGGCAAAAAGCAACTTGTTTTTCGCGCATAGCTGACCGAATACGCCGATATGGCTATTTTTTTTCGTATCAACAAAATGACGCTGCTAGAGAATGACGCCACAGTGTTGGCGCCAAATCGTTGCAATGGCGAAATAATTGGCTATATTCACAGGTTTTTGCGGAAAATTCTCGTTGTACAACGCAATGCAGATAACTGTGAAATTGGTGAAATTGCAAAACAAATTTTTTGTAATTTTTTTTTGAACAAAAATATAAACATAACAACTATGTACGATAAAATAAATATCAAAAGCGAAAAAAGCAGAAAAGTAAATATAAACCAACATTTGCATAATATTCAAAATGGCGTCAATGACTGGCTTTTAGCAAATAAATGCGCCCTGTCATTTTCAACTACAAACTACGTGTATGTACATTAGACCGTACCAGAAAAAAAGTGCGCCGTACACCTCTGAGTCCAGAGTATTTTTGGAAGGCAATTTGTATTTTCTTTTGTGTTAGGCCGAACGTAGGGGTCGCCTTATTACATCTTTCGTCATATATAGAAAGTAAAGTCGGAGCTTAAAGTATGATATATATGATATGATTTTGTCTCGAGGACATTTTTTTCAAAGTTCATTGAATTCAAGTACCCGTTCTAAATTAGAACTTCTAATACTTATAACCAGATCTCAGTTCCTATCATCCTAATGTCAGTAAATTAAAGCTCGAAAAAAAAATCATAAAACTTTTGCTAGAAAAGTATTTCGGTTCTAATTTTTAAATTTTTCAACATATTTTCGGAATTTACAGCCGGATTTTAAAGTATGATATATCGATGTTCTTGTCTCGAGGCGACACTGTTTTTTGTTTCAAAGTTCATAGAATTCAAATACCCCGTTATAGTACTTACCCACCAGATATAAGTTCCTACTACCCTAAGGTATTACCCTAACGCAAGTAAATTAAAGCTCGCGAAAAATCGTAAAACTTTTGCTAAGGAAGTATTTTGATTATTCCAGTAAAACTATTAAAAAAATGTATTGCCGAATGTAGATGCCACCGAAAAATTTAAAATTATTATTTTTTTTCGAAATTTTCTTGAAAATATACTTTAGACTCAGTGGTGTCCGTCAATTATTATTTTTTTCTGTTTTTTTTTGTAAGGTGGTACGGTCTAATGTAAATATTGATATTAAAAAACATAGACGACACACAAAATTAGCACAAACACAAATGAAACTGATATTTTCATTACAGAAATTCTAAAGTGAAGTGTTGTTATTTGAATGCAGCATTGCATAACGCTATCTAATTGTGACGGTAACTATTTGTGTTATATTTCGTAATTTTTTCTGTACTTTCCTAATTAATATAATGTTTTTAGCGCTCATTAAGTGTAATTGGGTCAGAATTTGGTTACGAGTGTGGTTAAGCTTTTGAATATTAAACACTTACAATGATTACGATAGAAATGTGGCACGCAGCCACAAACTTTTAGCGCGAAAAACATGCGGCACTCAGCCAGACAGAGACCAAAACTGTAAATGGGCGCCGTTTGCATTTCCTCAGCCTCGTATTGGTAGCGACATTTGCGTTGGGTGGTGGTGAAGCTGCAATGAAAGAAATTGTTAGCAGATATCTAAGAAATTAAAAAAAAAAATGACCAGCCTAAAATGGGCACCGTAAAAATTTGGAAGCAATAAAGAAGAATGTTGGTTATTAGCGCAGCTTTACACATAAATAAGCTTAATCCAACTTTAGGTCGTCTTGAAGTTAATTTCACTCCGCTTTAATACTCACGCTCGCGCCTCCTCTGCTGTATAGATCTCCAGCGCTATTAGCTCCACTGTTGTGTAATCACTTTCCGGAAATGTATAGCGCTGTTTGGAAATGTTCGGTATATCACCTGCGCCGTGGAAGTAGACATCATATGCAGTGGAGAGATTTATAATTTGCGCGTAAATTTCACCATCGAGCGGATGAACGGTGACGCGATCGCCATGCTCTAATAAGTTCCAATCGTTGCCTTTCCAATATCTATTCAAAAAGAGAGAGAAAAATATTAAAAAGTAGTAAAGAAAGTTTTCGAAATGAGAGGAAGTTGGATTTTGTGTTTTTAAGGATATGGAAGACTGGAAAATCGAATAATTTACCTATCGACATGCATACATATGTATTTTGAGAGAAAAGCAGGGCTAATTTCGAGGTCACTGCCACATAACTTGCAGATTGTATGTACTTAAGGACAAAAATATACATAAATTTACTCTTTTAACTTCGAGAACGAAAAATGACACTGAAGATGNGTACCCTGTCAAAAACACCAACAACGAAAATGAGAAAAATATATTTCTCTACTGTCGGGTGGCTCGACACCATGCTTCGTGTACGTGATATAGCATCGTCCTTAGGCAAGAGTTCCGTGACCACATTCAGATGTTCCTTCTCCTCTATTTGGACTCTAGTGACTTCTTAAACAAACTACTGGATGCTGTTGGGTCCGCGGAAAACCTGGTAATTATAGTCACAGGAAAATTCTGCTGTACTATATCACCTGCTATGAGTGCAGCTCTGCCTCGGCTCGTCCTTCAGGATCCGATAAAATAACAACATTACCGCTCGGCTCGTCAAGTAGTGATTTGACAGTCTCCACAGTCTCTCGCCAGCAAGGAACGCGGTAACACTATGCTGGTTACCACGAAACAGCGGGAATGAAGGTAACGAGGTCGCCGATGAACCGACTAGGGAGGGCTCATGGTCTGTCCATTTGGGACGGAAATCGTTTTGCGAACTCGCTTGGTACAGTTCGAGACTCATAAGCAAAGAGTGGGTAAACTCAGCATGTAGTGAGTACTGTGGACAGGTGAGGGGCCTTAGGCAGGATAGGCTTATTGGATATCCTTTTGCTAGGGAAGATGTAAATCTTTTTAATACATCATATTGACATATACTCTGAGACGGATTGTCGCCTTTGTCTTGAAGAGAGGGAGAATTTATGTTTAATTGACCGCCATTAGCCAGTCTAGGGCTGCAATACTTTAGTTCTGCCACGGTCGAAATCCTTACAATAATCTTATTAAACCTACTCATAAGAATTGTAGCGCGCCACCATCGAGTTAACCGAATGACAAATGCCAAACTCAGTGAGTGTTTCATAGATAAACATTTGTACGGCGGCGCCACTACTCATTTCCGGCTCGAAGTTCCACTTGAGTTCGTACAGCAAATCCAGATACTTGTTGCTCGGTATGCCAAACGATTTATTACGCGGCAATGTTTCGATGTTCTCATAAGTGAGACGTGCCAATTTATCGATGAATATGCGAAAGTCCTCCCGATCCTCAACCGATTCGAAAGTTTCTGGATGAGTGCTTTATATGAAAATATATAAAATAAAATTAAAACAAAAACCAAAAAAAAAAAAAACCAAAGGTTCAACTGAGATTGCACTTACTCCATATACTCCTCGATTTTCAGCTCATCGATGCGCTTGTGAGGACATACGGTGAGCGAAGGAAAGCTCGTATTCCACACTAACTTGTTGCGATCCATCGATATGACCATAGGTGAGGTTTGAAAACGTACCCAAGTGCGTTTACTAAGCGAAATGATAGCAAAAAGAGCAACGCAGATAAAGGCGAACCAAATCATTCTGTGAAAGGAAATGAGAAACGGATCAAAAAGTTAGTGACCGCGAGGAAGTTTGTAAATGAGTAGTGATATGTTAGAATGAATTTGTGCTTTAATTCTTCATTGTGCACGCAAGTCCTTCCCCTTTTGCGTTTGCGTTTTATATTCGCTCTCGCTTTGTGATGTGAATGACCGGCCGTAAAATGGCGTCATAACTCCGACATTTTGAGTGCATTCATAAAAATCTATGGCGTGTAAATTTATACCATGAGCTCACTTCCTTTTTTGGCAGCTCATAAAAATTGCCGCCGCTAAAGGCAAATGCCAAAACCCGACAACTATATGGAAGTGGAAGTAATAAAAAAATTTTACGAATGCGAAATGTGAATTGCATAATTTCAAAGTTTTCTCATGCAGAAGTCAAATGAAAAAATCGCAAGAAATTAAAAAAAAAATATGACAACATTTGAATGAGTGCAAAGGGACTATTTTATGCGGTTTTGATTGGTTGTATTTACATACATACATATTATCTTTGTCGCTAACTTTATGTGTGTGCGTTAATATCCTGCTTAAAGTTCACCCTTTTTTCAAAATTTGGCAGTCATTGACATCAAGCGCTTTGATACGCTTACTTGGCCTCGACTTACAGCTTTGTGGCTCCCCTCAGTCGCAGTCAAAGTGAGAATGCGAAATATGAAGCAAACTTTTTTTCCATTGCACATAAGATGGTACACAAACAAATACACACAAGAAATTGGAATATATTTAACTAAAGTCAACAGATATTTGTACGTATGATAAGCACATTTCCGCATGCATTCCTTGCTTTTTTTGGAGGCATATTTGTCTTTTTTCTACTGCCATCGTCTATACCAGCTCGTGTCTGAGACAAGAAAAATCCAAAGTTGACGCCACAATGGCTCATAAAGCTTTCGTTGCGAATCATGAAAACCCCATTGCGATTTGCTACACACCATTTTCGCAATGATTTTAAAGAAGGTCCTGCACTGCTTGCTGAAAATTTCTTTAATAGAACTGGATCTCCCTCCCTCTTCTTGATTGGCTACTTAACCACCAAATCGATTTTGGTTGAGTTCGAAATGGCAAGCTAGTCATTTCGTCTTCTTTCTTCTTGTTAAATGTGGTGAATTGGAAATACCAAGTGAAGCTAAAGCTCTCTTCAACGGAAGGAAAGACTTCCTCTTCTCATATCACTACCAGCGGATATCGCATCGAATACTTTCTGTGCTAGAGCATTTCCTGGGACGTCAGCGGTGAACGAGCGCAAGGCAAAGTACATTCCGGCAACACATAAAAAGTCTTGGTGTGGGTGGACTTTCTCTATCTAGAATCCAGCAAAGATACCACCAATAACGTCAGCTTGGAGATCAACAACAGGTGCTACTTTGGGCTTGGTAGGCAATTGAACAAAAATTAGGCGCGCTTTCCAAGGCCAAACGTCGAGTGACCAGAAGACTGCACAAACTGCCAACCCCTAGTGCGCCTCTTGTTTTCACCAGCGGTGAGGTTCAGGTAGCCATCGGGAGGGCGAAAGCCTCCAAAGCCATCAGACCAGACGGAATATGCATGCTGATGCTGAAAAAATTGGGTCCTGCGGGAGTGGATTACCTTACCAAGGTCCTAAATCTGTCTATGGACACTTATCCTTCCGGACATCTGAAAAATGTTAAGGATGGCTGAAACCAGGGAAAACGGCCAACAAAGGAAAGTGTTATCGTCCGATAACCCTGCTTTCCCCGGTAGCGAAGACCCTTGAGGCCTTGCTACTCCCGCAATATACAAACCACCTGACCCCAGCGTGGCATCAGTATGGGTTCCGTAAAGTCCACAGCACAACAACAGCATTTAATGCCATAAACACCCAGATAACTCGTGGCATGAACCGAAACCGCCGCTGTGAGAGAACAGTCCTAGTTGCGTTGGATCTGTCAAAGGCGTTTGATACCGTCAACCACTCCACGCTACTAGAAAACATTGAGGCTTCCTCTCTACCGCAGGCACTCAAACGGTGGTCAGCTAATTATTTGAGTAGTCGAAATTCGTCAGTAATTTTTAGTGACAAAACTAGCAAGCCAAGAAAAAGTAAACATGCGGTCCCACAGGGTGGTGTCCTTTCCCCGCTACTATTTAAGTACTATATTTCAGTGTTCCCTCAACCACCAGAGGGAGTCTCGATTGTCTCTTATGCTGATGACTGCTCGATAATGGCGTCTTGAAATGGAATTGATGACTAATGCTCGAAGGTAAACGATTACCTCTCTGAACTTTTTCGCATATTCACTGCAAGGAGCCTAACCCTCTCCCGTGCAAAGTCCTTGGCAACCCTTTTTACCTCCCGGACGAAGGAGGTTAGACTACAGCTGGGCATTCACGTCGATGGCGTACAAATTCCGACGGTGAATAACTCGAAAATTCTCCGAGTTTCTTTAGATAGTCTGCTTTTCTTCTCAGCGCACACAACCGCAATTGTCAATAAAGTAGAGAGCTGCAACAAGGTCCTCAAGTCGCAAGACGGCAGCACCTGGGGCAAAGACAAAGAAATGTTGCTGGCAGTGTGGGCGGCGAGGACTAGTAGGACGAAGCTACAGACCTGGCAAATCACGGCACTCCGGACAGCTACCTGTTGTCTTATAATGTCACCACAACACCATCTACACGACGGGGCTCAAATGCTCAGAGCATAACACTGCAGAAGGACCTCTCTGCACTCGGGATGAAAAACTGGCGCAAAATCGCAAAGGATAGAGTCAATTGGCGAACTTTTTTTGGTCTCGGCCTAAATCTACAAACGGTTGTAGTGTCAAATAAGAAGAATATGTCGGTTTGCATACGTTCGTATAATACTCCTTCGTTTTTCGAGAGCAGACGTTACTTCTCAGTTGCCTACTCTATGCAAATAAACTACTTCAGTATTGTAGAAACCTAGAAATATTTGGGATTACCGAAAATCCGGCATTATTTTACTCGAACGTCTCCTTGATTCCTAAGTTCGTTAGCTCTTCATAATATTCAACCGATTTGTTTATGTATTTGCTGTTTATTTATGAATTCCGCGCCCGGTTTGTTTAGAGATTGCCACAGCCAATGATAATCGTTTTCAATTTTCATCCATTTACAAACTAATTAAAAGTTTACAGGAAATTTGCGCAGAGCAACAGCGCGCTTATTATTTAAACTTTTTTTCTTACGTCGAACCACAAAGCGAATTGGTATGCAGCGCCACTTAATCTGCGACAGAGATAATTTCGCGCGATGCCCTTGCTCTGCACCGCACAGACACGGAAA